AAACTTTTTGTGTGCTGTTTTAAAGTTTGAAATTGTATTTTAACACGGCCCCAGGGAAGAACAGCCATTGGCTGAGTCTGGGCCACACATGTATAAATAAAGTTTATTATTATTATTATTATTATTATTATTATTATTATTATTATTATTATTATTATTATTATAAAGGATACTTTCAGTAAAAAAATAATGTAATACTAATCAATAATGAAGAGAATAATGTTAAAACTAAAAATATTTCCCAAAAAATTTCACATCTAAGGTCGGACACACAATGTGTCGTATGGTGGACGTAAGGTCGTCGAATCCATCTTTGCTCTCTGTCAACATTTGATGACAAGTCTGGAAGTCTGAACGGATCCTCGTTAAACACGATTCATTGCGTGTGCGTCATCGCACTACATTCTCCGTGGGATTGTGTCTGCCGACAACTGTCGGGTGCAGTGTGCCCGGCATAAAAGCTAATCAAATATTATATTTTTGAGATTTTTATATGACAAAGCGGATTAATTACCAACATTTAACCCTTCCTTATGCTATGCGTTTCTAAATCTAAATTGTAGGCCTAATCTTATTTAAATACATAAATTTCCTTTGCAGAATAAAAGTAAAGAAATGTAAAGTAAAGATAGCTTTAAAGCATTTGACAGATATATAATATAATTTAATGTTTCCTGTTTTGTCTGTAATGCTTGTATGGTTTATGCTGTTTAGCTTCAATGTAGACATCGTCTTCATTTGTCTGATATCAGATTCATCTTTTTTACCTGAATAAATAAATCAATACAGTAGAAGAGTAGTAAAGTACTGTATTGAATGTTGCATTTGTCATGTTCATCTAACATCCATCTAACATTGTTTAGTACCAGACATTAATATAGACAAGTATAAATGAATGGAAGTTGAAAAATTGCCAGTTTCATGATCTCCCCAGAGCAAATCAATTACTACAGTAACACCATAAAATTCCGGATACTGAATGAGAAATAAATCCAAAAATGAAACAAGAATTTGAGAGGGTAATGACCATACACTGGTCTAGTCATGAGGACTCACTTAAACTCATTAAAATGAACATACATGACTCAACCGTTCAGGTATTCTACATTACGAAACAAAAGTATTAAATAGAATCTCCACACACAGTTATCAGTTCTTTCTTTTTCTTTGAAATTAAGAAGAATGCAGATCACAAAGAAATATCAACCCACATGTTGTTATGGTTAGGTCAGAATTTTGTATAAAAAAAAATATTCTCTTTTTAAACCACCTTGAAAATTAGGTCACTAAATCAGTGAGTACATTTTAATGAGCAAAGGTAGGGAATTTATGAACATCCCCTTGACATTGTTAATACAAGCGATATGGAGTGCATTGGCTGATGGTGATGAGATGATTGACCTGGCTTCACCTAGGTCTTATCACCCAATCTACTGTCACAAGATGGAGGATTATGAAATCTTGTCATCAAATTTGTCAGGGGACAGGTTATCAAAGATTTGTCACATTCCATCTACTGGTGTCACTTACAGTGACATTTCTGATTATTTGCCGTGGGAATGTATCAATCAGAATAAGGCATAGTATGTTGTTGATCATGCTAGTATTTTTTTTGGTTTTTTTTTTTTGTGGTTAAAATCTCAAATTATATTAACTCTGAAACCTTGCATTTTCCCACAGTGTACAGAAACATCATATAATCTGATCCCCAATAAAATAAAAATACCTACAGTAAGAAGCTACGTAGTGGAAAAGTGTCCAATAAAATACAGTCTATTAATACATACAGTATGCCAAAGTGTTACAGATTATTACATCCATTTATTATTTTACTGTTCCATTCCATGGAGGAGAGTTTCTTAATTCATTTTGAAAACAATTTCCATAAGATACTGTACAACAAAAAAGAAAAATCAAAAATAAAACTTCTGATTGCAGGATTTTCGGAGGACTTTTTAAAAAATAAAATTTCATAGACCTACAGTACTATAACGATAGTTGTTCAATCTCAGAAGAACGAGCGTTGAAGGTTCCCTGTCATGTTCATGAAAGGAATAGATAAGTAATTATTTCATGTCTACTGTGCTCACTGCTCTGCACGCATCCAACTACAACAGTGCACACCCATGCTAGTGTGTGTGTGTCGAATGATGCGAAACCTCTTAACAATTTTAACAATTTGCTCAACAATTATCAATATAAAAGTAAGTTTTCATAAATCTAGTCCATTCCAGTAGTTATTCTATAGGACATACTGTAGTTTTTCACCCGAATACTTCTTCCGGGTACAAGTCATGGGCAGTACCAGGCAGAGATGTCTGTTAGTAAGACCCCACAGACCTAATGATTCAAGAATGCACATCTTTTATTCAGTGGGCATTACTCTCTTGGCTTTTCCTTACATCAGCTATTAAATTTGGTAATGTTGATTAACTGGTATCATCCCTGTTTGCTTTTCTTGTGCACTGAACAAGACAAGTTTGCCATTCAGCAGCCGTTCAATGATGAAAGACAAGCTAGAAAACAAATTACCAGCTCCCATCGGGATGCTAGGCATTCTTGTGATGACTATCTCTAGCATTCCTTCCTGAAGACCGACTGAATGCAAGCCTGTAGCCAGTGGAGTTCGATGGTTTCGAAAGAACCTCTTTTTCCAGAAATGCCCTTACAAATAATTATTAGTAAAAAGTTACATTTGCATAGAAGTAGTTGCTCCAAACTTTCCATGAATTTTAATGCCATTTCTTGACATCTGAGGTGTTCTCTGTATCCTTAATATCTTCCCCAACCATGGTGGGGTTTTGAGTGAAGACTCACAGCACCCTTTTGTGGAAAATTAGAACCCTCACCCCCCTTTAGAAATCCTACCTACCTGTACAGGCTTGTAATGTCTTTTGTACTGACCTCTGTATTCATATTTATATTTATTATGTGTTTTAGCATCAGGAAAAAGAATTTTACTTGTGAATTTGTTTCAATAAGTGACAATAAAAGTATCTTGTATCTAGTATCTTTAATATTCACTTTTCAAAAAATCATTTAGGGTATAAATGACTGGTAGTAAATTGTGATTTTCCTGTGAAAAAAAGAGACACAACCTTGTGAAGGAAACATAAAGATGGCAAGTAAGTACAATTATATCTCTTACAGTATGTCTTGTTTGTTAAGAAAAAAGTCAGAGACAGTTCTAAATCGATCAAGGCCAATTGAAAATCAAACATGCCTAGTTATCTATATTAAATAGTTTATTCTACACTATAGACCTAGCATGGTGTGCTTTGTAAGCTCACTGAAAAACTGCTAATTAAAGCCAGTTGCATACAGTATATGCACACATTTTTTAGAACTAATAATTATCTATTTTATTTGTTTTTTGGGGATTTTTTTCAAATTTCAAATTTGTGAGAATTTACAAAATTCAGAAACAGTTCTAGATCGATCAAGGCCAATTGAAAATCAAACATGCCTAGTTATCTATATTAAATAGTTTATTCTACACTATAGACCTAGCATGGTGTGCTTTGTAAGCTCACTGAACTGCTAATTAAAGCCAGTTGCATATATGCACACATTTTTTTAGAACTAATTATTATCTATTTTATTTGTTTTTTGGGGATTTTTTTTCCCATATTTGTGAGAATTTACAAAGCACTACAGTAGAAGATAGCAGGGAAATCTTGGATACGCTTGAACAATTTGGGTCACTAGAATTGGTGCCTATATAATTAGAAAACACTTCTGTAACCACCATACATCACAATAATGGTGCATCCATGAAAACATATGTCTCTTACAAAAGACAATGCATACTGTATATTTGTACTTTGCTTTCAGCTTGAGCCCTCCAGCTAAAATGTCCATCAAGTAAAAACACAAAAATAGCAGCTGGAATAGAACCAAAGACTTAAGGATCTCTATGGTTCAGTGCACATACAGTGGTCCTCATAAACAAACAGTATTTATCCTGTCTGTGTGATTAGCACAACTGTGATAATGCTGTAATTGTGTAATAATCGTCACATTTTAATTCAAGTTCGTTGTCAGCAAACATTCAGTTTGGGGAAATCCTCTTGATAGCAGATGTTACTAATGACAAGATACTAGTAATGTATGAATAATGAATAAATATTTATATACTTGTCAAGGCCAAGTACATCACTGGTGTTGCATCATGCATTTTCATTTTAATGTTTGCTATGCAATTTTTAAGGAAAAATATAAGTATATAATTATAAACATACTACTGTAAGATCCTTACAATAAATAAATAATATATATCTGGAGTGTGTTTTCCTCTTCTGTTTTTCAGTATTTATGTCTTGATTCAGTTTTTTTATTTCAGAGTGACAAGTAATTTCCTCCAGTTTAGTACCGGTACCGTTATATATCAGTATTACTGTAGAAATGACAGTCATTCAGAATTTAAACGAAAAACATACTATAAACTAGATAGAATTTAGGGGCCTGTGCCAAAAAAAGGGACATGATATAAAGCAAACAACACTGCTGATGATTGCAAGAATAAAGATATTATGTAAAGTGAAATATTCTAATAATAAATCTGCTTTCACAAATTTTATGCAGTACAGTACATCAACTGAATGCAATTTCCAAAAATATTGATAATAACATGTAACCAAATGATTCCAACACAACAATCAATACAAAAACAAGTAGCCCTATACTTTATGCCGCACTGAAGACTGATAAATTCAAACAGTACAAAGAGATACAACAAGGTTTGAAAAGGGGAAGGCCAAACATATGGGTTGGTATGTTATATTGATAATTAATGAAATTTTTGAACAATCATGAATAATCACAATAACCATTAAGACTATATATAATAATAATAATTAAATAATTCCACCAAATATTTAATGAGTTTCACTTCCTTAATCCAAGATCAAGTATTTGTAATTTAATCAAAGTAATATATGAACAATCAATAACAGAAGGCAAACATTACAGAAACACTCTGCAATACGAAACCACTTTACCTGTAATATCAATCTCCATCGGTTCACAGTCGCTGTAGTTGGTCGAGATTGGACAACGAAACACTTCGCCAGGCCGCTGGACATCGCTAGCTTTCATACTGTCATATATAGGTGCACCAACAAGAAGCCTGCAATGACAAAATAATTGGCCTTAATTTTATTTTTCATACATCATTAACTATACAATAGTTCAACCTCCAAGATGTCCAGCTCCTAGGACACCTAGAAACGTCTAATCGGAAGCTAAATTTATGTATAGGTAGTTCAGTAAATGTGGATGCCAAGTAGGGTTCAAAGTGACGCGATACATGCATCTACTGTACTCAACTCAGGACAGCTGCCTGTGAGTGTGAAACATAGAAAACTAAGCACTTGTAAAGTTACGTTATCGGTATTGGATGTTATTTTATACCCAAAATACATTTTTAATGTCGTCTATACCAAATTTTTAAATTCATACACAAAACATGCAACATACTCAGGGATCCTATGTCTCGCAGGAGTCTCCCGGAAATCGGGACGACCTTCCGCATTCCCGCAAACAAGCAAGAATCTCCCGGAAATAACCGATCTCCCGCAAATTCATATTTGCATGTTTTAAATAAATTATTATCAATTGCTTCATGGAAGTCAGTGCCAGTGGGTCACTGTGCAGTAATTTATAAAATTAAATTTGTTAACAAAGTCATAACTACTGCAGATCAGTGGAGGATTGAAAGGGAGGTCCTAATTTTGTTATAATTTTTTTTTTTTAAATGGGGAATACGAAAAAATTATTCTAAAATTTATGTACGAGAGTGTCATTTCCGGCAGCTTAGAGGTACCATAATCATTTTCCTCCCTCTGCCCCAACCATGATGGGGCTAAGGTGGTAAGTCCTAATCTATATCTGTAAAGGTCCTTCCCTACCCACCCACTCCCCCCTTCCCATTTCAAATTCCTAGATCAGTTACTGTAGATCTCCTGGAAGTAAATTCTTCCAACTTGGGACCCCTGCATACTTAACCCTCTAGATACCGTCTTCGACTGTAGTCGAAATTGACCTCAAACCGAGAATTCCCATTTTCGACTGCAATCGAAATTTCGTGACTAAAAAATAGGTGGTTTTCAAATCGCTCTTCTGTTTTTATTTTAGCTCCAATACGTCAGAAATTTTAAACACGCATGCGTAAAGCTTGTGTCTTTCGAAATCTGTGAAGAACTCACATGCGCTTATATAAAAATGTTTAGAAATATCAATTTGAAATCGTTATTAATTTCAAAAATTTGTCGAAATGGCCGCACAAGATGTGTACACAGCTAAGCAAGCGATTGACCTGATTTTTGATTCAGACAGCGATGAAGGTTAATTTTAAAATGTGCGAGACTTAGACGTGCCTGTTAGCGATGATGACTGTGGGGCTTCAAGCAGTTCTGACGGCGGAGATGTTCTTGATGAAGATGAGCCTAGGCCTAGAAATGTGAGGGTAGTCAACGCTTTTGAATGGAAAGATCGCGCTTATAGTCTGTCTCTTATACACATCTAGATGTGTATAAGAGACAGATAATGATGTGATCAAACAAAGTGGAA